ATTTGCAGATAAATTTTCCCCTTTTCCAAATAAATTTTTTGCATTTTTTAAATTTCTATTTAGATTAGAGACTGGAACTGTAAATAAATTGCAAAAAAGCCGAATATGTAACTTTCGGGTGGATTCGTGAAGCTTCGTGTCCGCTCGGGTCGCGTCGCCACGAGGCAGCCAACGAGCCTTCACGAATGGATCCGAAACTTACGAATTCCGCCATTTGCCATTTAAGTTGTTTCGCTTTTTTCTATTTTTACAAATAGGAAATAAAACTTGTTCGAAAATAGAAAAACTGTATAAATAATAAATTGCAATTTATGCCCATCTGTTAAAAAATAATATAAAAACTTTAAAAATTCTGCGCATTTTATAAAAAATCCTTTTTTGTAAATAAACCTAAAAAGACAACTTTTAATTACTTTTTTTCAATTTCTAAAACTACTTTCTAGTAATTAATCATTAATTAACAAATTAGAGACAATTAAATTTATAAGTGGCTCAAAATTAAAATATTAAAAATTAGCATTTGCAAAGAGATAATAAGAGTAGAGAAAAATTTCATAGATGACTATATTAACGTCAAGAAATCAAGAAAGAAAAAAAAATCTTTCTGAAAATGAATTCTTCTCGCATAAAAAAAATTCATGGGATTCATTCTTAATAACTCCCGATTCACATGACACTAGGTTCAGCAATATTGTTTCTCTACAGGAAATCCTGTCGATAACTTGAAACCAGTTATCGGATATTGTATTAGATATTTACCGAGAAACTTTTCTCTTCCTATCAAAACAAAAGACACACACACACACACACACACTCTCTCTGAATGTAGACTATATTATTGTCCCCATGGAAAAACATTGCTTGAATATTTTGCTTGTTCAGAATTTTTTTTTTTTTTTTTTTTTGAAAAAAGCGAACGTGTACTTATTTATATATACACACATTTAGGAGAAGAGAAGATATTCAGAACCGTGTGAGTTCATCAAAGTTTTAACTCATTCGCTGTCTTGTCTTATATATTTTTGTAGCTTGCATGCACGGTATATTTATTAACCCGTCAAGTGGCACATTATTCATCGCTTAATCAACCACACAGCCGTCCGTCACATATCTGTACGAGACGGGTATATAGTATATATTAGAGAGAGAAGGGATGACGCAGTTCAAGGAATCTTTCGAACCACAACACACTGGTCAAGGCTACAAAAGGCCACTGCCTATCTCTCTTTCCCATATGAAATGCTTTATAGAAAATAACCCGCATAAAATTTCAGCTGGACATTTTCTTTAGTACTTCCTCTCGTATTTCATTTTAATATTTCACTTTACAAAAGGGTTTTTTTTCTGTTCTTGTTGATTAGAAAACGAATTTAGTAACTTTTACTGAAATTTTTATGGAAAAAGCTAAAATTTGTGCAACTTCCAGTCGATTTTTTTATTTTCTGTTGGGCGAATTTTGCTATTTTTTATTTTTTAAGGAATATGTGAGATGGCTCAGTGGTTACGCTACTCGACTCGCGACGGTAACAAGACCGGGGTTCGATTCTTCCCGTCTGGATTTTTTTCCTCGCGAATTTCCTTCAATGTGGTGACATTTACTTCGAACGTAACAAAATTTGCATTGGAAACAGTAATAAAATTGAAATAAAAATAAAAAGGCCAAAAACTGCCATTGTTTGCAAAATAATTCGAAATCGCTTTCTCTCTTTCCCATAAAAATTTATACAAAATAACCCGCATAAAATATCAGCTGGACTTTTTCTTTTGTATTTCCTTTTAATATTTCCCTACTCAAGGATTTCCTGTCCTAATTTCCGTTAAGTTGAAAACGAATATACGAATTCACCTTTACTGAAAATTACTTTCTTTTTCAAATTTTTTCAATTACAAAATTTTTTCTTTACTGAAATTTTATGGAAAAAGCTAAAACGTCTGCAATTTCTAGTTGATTCTTTATTTTTTTTTCACATTCGTTTGAAAAAAATTTGCTATTTTTAAAGAATTTTTAGTGAAATCAGCAATTTTTGAGAATATGTGAAACGGCTCATTGGTAACATTACTCGACTCGTGACGCCAACGAGACCGGGGTTCGATTCTTCCCGTCCGGATTTTTTTCCTCTCGAATTTCCTGCAATTCGATGGCATTTACTTCGAACGTAACAAAATTTACATTGAAAATAGTAATTAAACTAAAATAAAAATTGAAAAAAAGGCCAAAAAAATTCCTTCATATTACAAAATAATTAGAAATCGGTTTGAACAATAAGCAAATAGTTTAAAATTGCTAAAATGTTACTTTCACTTTATGCTTCATTTACTGAAGAAAGTAATAGAAAATATTTTATTTACTTTTCAAAATTTCGAATTTTATCAAATTTTCATTGAAGGTTTTTATTATTTCTTTTTTAAAAAAATTCTCTTTTAGAAAAATTCTTTTTTTATCACTGAACTTTAAGGGAATTGTTCAGGATTAAAGTTTTTTTTTTGGCCAAAAAAAATGAAAATTGCAATTGTCACTGGGATATAGAGTTTCAGTGTTTTTTCATCGACTCCTAAAAAGACAATGACGTCGCACTTCTTTTATATATAATGAAAGAGTATATTTTTAACGACAATGTTACACATTTTTTGTTGCTGTACGCCATGCGTCCCTATATATATTGAAAGCAACACGAAGAAAATTTCTATTTTAGCTTGGCCCTGCGTAACCCTGTAATTATGTCCATTAGTCAGAGAGTTTATACCGTTACAAACTTATTTTCAATACTGATTAGTTTTCGAATTTTAGAAAATTTTTTTTTCTTTTCTTCAAAAATACACACACTAAAGTGATGGAAGATGAGGGAAATCGCTTTTAAACGAGTCGGTAATTACTTTTTAAAATAGTGTCGCAATTTAAAGACACTTATGAAATATTCTTCTGTAATTATATATATATATTTTTTCATAAGTTAAAAATATTTCTTTACTTTTTTTTTCTTTTAGAGAAATCTTTTTAATCTTTCTTTCTTTCTTTTTTCTCGATTAAAAAAGCCACGAATTGATCTTTTCTCGATTTGTTATTTATTGTCTCTGTAATTAATTATGTTTCTTCGATTTTTAAGTGTTTTTTATTTTTTTCCTTTCTGAAATATTTTTTTTTTAATGGAAAGTTTTTTTCTCTTTTAAATGTTTTTCTTTATTTAGTAAGAGTTATAATAAAAAAATTATTATTATTATTATTATTATTATTATTATTATTATTATTATTATTATTATTATTATTATTATTATTTACAAAACAAAATTTAGTATTGTTGTTTTGACAATTTCTTGTGAATACTACTTGTTGTTATTGTAATAATAATAATTTAGATATTTATTGTAATTTGTAATTATTTTTTGTAACAAAATTTATTGTTGTTGTTGGTTTTTTAAAATTTATTATAGTTCTTTTTATTATTTGTTGCGAGTTATAATTATTGTAACAAATAAACAATAATTGTGATTCACAACAAAATTTGTTTTTTTACATTTCGTTGTGAATAATTTATTAACTAAATAATAGTAATTATTGTTTATTTACAAGTTATAATAAACAATAATTATTATTTAGAACAAAATTGTTTTTTAATGTAGAAAACCTTAGATTTTATTTAACGAAATTTTAAGAAGTTGAGAATTTGTAACATTTCGTCAATAATTTTATTGAATATTATAAAAATTAATAACTTTTCGTCTCAAAACTTTTTTCGATTTTTAACATTTTTTTCAACTTTATAATTTTTTTTTTATTTCACTTTACTTTGAAATTATTATTATTATTATTATTATTATTATTATTATTATTATTATTATTATTATTATTATTATTATTATTATCATTATTTTACACAAGCACCTTGAGAATCTTATATATTAGTGACGAAGACGTCTTTGACCTTTTGTGTGGCGAGAAAAGCGCACACAGGTCGCCAGCGCGCAATCGATCAGGAAGCTCTTCTCAAATCCGTATAGACTTTTTCGATCAAATTTTTTTGTCCGATCCTCTTTTGAGTCATTCGGCAAAGGATATCTTTTCATCTCGTAAATTCGATTTATTAGATTTGAAAAAGGGGCAAAATGTCCTTGAACGCGGTTGAACTTTAATTGGAAATCAGCCGCGCAAGATTAATCAAGACCTGCGCGATTAATGATTGATTAACAATTTAATTTATCCGTACTCATCGTTATTATTCTTTTCTCTCTCTCTCTCTCTCTCTCTCTCTCTCTCTCTCTTTTTCTGCTCTGAATTCTTAAAGAGAGAGAAGATTGTAGAGAAAAAAGAATCATATTGAAGAGGTGCGAGAAAATAATTTCAATATCGATCGGATCCGGTATATATAAAAGAATAAGTTGATTTTTTTCTGTTCGTGAAAAAAATAGAATGTATAAAATTTTACTTTTGTAGGAAAAATTAAAGAAATAATAAATAAAAAAATTAATTATTTTTATAATTTCTAAATTAAAAAAATTGTTGTAAATTCAAATTCAAATTTATTAATAGTTAAGTTTTTGGCCTAAACTATGAAACGATTCAAAAATGTTCCGTATTTTATTTTATTTTCTAGTTTTATTAAATTTTTTCTAATTTTTTTCAACTTTTTTTAATATTTTTTTCCATTTGTTCTAATTTAAAATTGCAATGTTCCGTATGTTCCCTTTATTTTACTCTGTTTTCTAAGTTTTTAATATTTTTCTAAAAAATATTTTTGGTTTTTTTTTTGACAAAAACAAAAGTATGGATAATTTTTTTTTTTCGTTTTCTTTTATTGAGCAATTGAGAATTCAACTAAAATGGAAATCCTCGAGTTGTGTGTCTCGATTCGTAACGTGCGAAAGAACTAAGAGTCATTTCTTTATTTCTCCAAGAAAAAAATAATTCTTTTCGCCTTATTTTTAATTGATTTCGTATACTTCTGATTCGAATGCTGACAATCCAAATTTTTTTTCCAATGAATTTTTTTTTTTGTTCTTTACAGTGATATTTGAGAAATTAGTCATCGAAAATCATCATCATCATCATCATCATCATTCTGCGCTATTTATGTATTGGAATCTGCGCTCTGAATTTCTTCTTGTCTCGCTGGATGCTGTGGACCATGAAACAAATTGGTAAGTGAGTTTTGTATTATTCTCGTATCTCGTTTCATTCGCGACGTTATATATAAGGCCCCAAGGCCGAAAAGTGTAAGGACGACGCAGATGGACAAAAACTACCGGAACGAGGTTCGGCTATATCTTTTCTGACCTGAGATATAGTATATAGAGAGACTCGTGTGACTCGTGAGCGTCCGAGACGAACTCGGATTAGTCAAGGGCTGCGGGAGGCTGTGTACCACCCGGCATTTTTCGTCTGATCTATCCGTGCCGCGATCTTCGCGCAGATAGACCGAATCCGATGGGGGAAAAAGAAATTCACTCTCTCCCCCCTTCTTCCTGACCCCTTATATCTCAAAACTGACACACGAACACGGGAATGGAAAAGCGTCGTCGTCGTCGCGCATTGTAATGTTGACGAAGAAAAGATCTTCGTACTTTGCGGTTCATAAGAAAACAGGAATAATTCTTTTCATTCATACATATACAACAACCAATGCTTAATACTCAAGCGTATCGCGTTTTACTTTTTTTTTCTTCTTCTACTTCTCTTTTTTTTCTCTCTAAGGTATCAAAGATCTATGATGATATTCCACTCACACCTGCTCTGGTTACTTTACTATTTATGCAGCCGTTGAATCGTTTTTTTCTCTCTCTCGATATTTTTTTTTTCATTTCACGACGAAATTTACCTAGATTTCTACGAGAAAGAAAAACACCTTGCAGTCCCTGTTTTTGGTTCAACGATTTTTTTCTTTTTAGTTCGAATCTTGACAAGAATCTTGATTTGAATAATCAAAGAGAGTAAAAATAGAAGCAGGCTTCGCACTCATCTATTGAAACTAAAACCTAGTATTTACTACTTTTTTTACAATTATAGCTACTACTAATTATTTTTGAAAAGAAACTATAAAAAATCTAAAAACTTAACCATTTAATAAATTTGGAATTTAAATTTATAACAATTAGAAAAAATATAATAAAATTAGAAAACAGAATGAAATAAAAAGAACTAAAAATAAAATAAAATACGGAACATTGTAATTTGAAATTAGAACAAATGGAATAACAAATATAATAAAATTGGAGAAATTGAAAAAAAATATTGAAATTGAAACAAAATGAAATATAATAAAATTCGAAAACAGAATATAATAAAAGGAACATCGGAACATTGTAATTTTAAAATATAGAATAAATAAAAAAATATAACAAAATTGGAAAAAATATAATAAAATTAGAAAAAAGAATAAAATAAAAGTATAAAATAGAAATAAAATGAAAATAAAAAAGCAGAATAGAATAAAAATAAAAAAATTAACGAGATATTCACTTAAAAATTCAAAAAGTAATTGAATTTTATAAAAGTCGTGTTTACAATTATTTATTTCCAAATATCAACTTTAATTTGTTAATAATTTCGGATTTAAAATTATAAAAATCTCATTTTTTAACTAATTGTAATTATATGTTATTTTCAAACAATTTTTATTTTAAACATAAATTCCTCAAAAAATTTAAGTATTTTTTATAAATTTGAATAAAATTCGTTTAAAAAAAATTGTTATAATTCCATAACTTCTTCAAAAGAATACAATTAATTTAAAAAATTTTAATAAAAATCGAAATTATTTTAAACATTTTAATTTTAATTCTGCAGATAAATTCAATTTTTTTTAAAATATAATTTTAATAAAATTTCTCAAACGAATTCAATTTTTTTTTAAGGACATTCGAACCTTTATGACGTCACAGTTTATGCAAAGCATTTTTTTTTAAACTATGACGTCATAAATGTTCAAATGCTCTTAATAAATTTTAATAAAATTCCATTTAATAATTGATTTATTTTTAATTCAATTTTTATAAAATTCATTAAAAAAATTTATAAGAATTCAATTAATTTCTCAAAGGAATACAATTATTTTTCCAAATTTTAATAAAATTCAAATATTTTCTAAATTTTAATAAAATTTTAAATATTTCAAATTTTAATCTAATGAATTTTAATTCTCCATGCGTGAATAAAGTTATTTAGAAAATAATTTTAATAAAATTCTTCAAAATAATTCAATTATTTTCCAAAATTTCAAAATGTTTCAAATTGAAGTTTTAGAAAATTTTGATTTTAAAAAATTTTAGTTAAATATTCTAAGGAAGTTGGTTTTTTGAAAAATTTTGATTACAATTTTTTTTATATTAGTTAAATCGTGAAAATATATATATTTAATTGAAAAACTTTAAATTAAATATTCAAAATTTCAAATTTCAAATTCCTTAAATTTCATGAAATTGAATTGAAAAGAAGTTGATTTCCAAAGTATTTTAGGTGAACTTTTTTTTTCTTTCAAATAATTAATTGAATTCTCAACGAACTTTTTACAAAAATTATCAGAAATAAGTGATTCAGAGAAGAATTTTAGTTAAAATTTTAAAAAATACTTGAATTAAAATTAAAATCTTGAAAATAATTTTAAAACTTTTCTTTTTCCCTTTGAAACTTTTTCAAACATTTTCCAATTTTCTTCTAAAAAAATTGAGCAATATTTGCAATTGATAAAATAGAAATAAAAAAAAAATTTACGAAATTAGAAAATAATTGCAGAAGTAACAAAAAAAATAATTTTACACAAACAATAGAAAAAACTATTAAAAAAATATCAAACGCTTTAAAATAAAAACACTTATTTTAATGCCTCGAATAATCGTCTATGAAAATTTTCCTTATTGAAAGTAATCTCCTCAGATAAACATAATTCATTTAAAATCATACAACATAGAATAAAGGAAATTGAATATGATAATTGTAAATTATATAAAGAAATTATATATATATGAAAAGTCGTTAAATTGTTTAAAGGCAAATTGTCGATTATAAAAAAGTGTCGATTGCATTTAAACACTATCCATTTCTTTATATGCGCCACGTAAAGTAATTCATAAATAACAAAGCAATAAATAATCTGGCCCTAAGGAGTGTAAATGTGTTTTCAAATTGCAATTTTCAATGTTAGAAGTAGAATTAAATTGCACATATACACCTTCCTACATATTTATATATATATACCTATACAGATATTGAATCCGTAAAAGCTTCTACGACCTATTTATCTCGTGTCAGTGTACGATTTCAGTGTTACGTATTTTAACGATCAGCAAACACGCTATTCAGTTACATGGATTTCAAATTGTTCTTCCGTCGCTAAAGTGCTGATTTATGTATCTTTTAGCCCCCAGCTTTGTTTTTTTTTATGTCAAAAAAATAAAAAAAAAAAAGAAAATAAAAAATACACCCGATTGTTGTCTCGCGAATCGCATGTTATTAATCTAAATGGTTTTTGTTTGTTTATTGTTTAGAAAATGATTTTTTTATTTCGTTTCCTCTTCAATTTTTTTTTTTTTTGCTAATTTGCTTGAATTTTTATTTTGTTTCCTCTTCGCTTTTTTCTATAATTTGGTTTATTTTTCTATTTCGCTTCCTCTTCAATTTTTTTTTTATAATTTGGTTGCGTTTTCAGTTTTTTCTGTTCAATTTTTCCATTTTTTTTTTTGTATAAAAAATTTATTTCTAAAAATAAATTATTATTTTTTTTTAATATTAGGAAAATTTTTTTCAAATCGTAAGAAATATTCCAAGACAATTTTTGGAAATAATTTTCATGAAGGAATTTAGGAAAATATTTAATTCAAAAATGTTGAGTATCAACAGAAATTGGGAAAGTTTGTTTAGAACGAAATTTTTACAGTGGTAAGAATTTTTTTCGGAAAAATATTATACAATGAAAAAATTCTAAATTTTGTTCAAAACGAATAAATATTTGACCGAATGAAAGAAATAAGGTTGATAACATAAAACTGAAGCTTTGTTTGGTTAAATAAAAAAATTTATTTATACGACGAAATTCTTTCTTTAATTTTTGAAAAATTTATCAAACTGAGTCAAATATTTATTTAATAATCATTTTATTTACCACAAATAAATATTTTTTAAACTTTTTATTAAAAATTAAAAGAAATTTTATTTCCAAAAGGGTTTTAACTTTTAACACCAGTTCACTGGAAAAAATACACAAAAATAAATATTTCCAAACAGTTTTAAATTCAAAAATATTTTTAATGTAAAAATTTTTAATAAATATTTTTAATAAATATTTTTAATAAATATTTTTAGCGCTTATTTAAAAACATTATTCAAACAAAAATTTGATTAAAAATTTCCAACACGTATAATTTTTCCCCGAGTGAAAAAAATTCCCTTCTAAACATAAAATAAAAAATTCAATTAATCACAAACATCCTAGAAACAATAGGAAAAAAATTTATTCACAAGTGTAAATAATAAAAAACACGAAAAACATCCTAGAAACAATAGGAAAAAAATTTATTCACAAGTGTAAATAATAAAAAAACATAAATAAAACTTTGCAAAAGCAAAAGGGAAACTTGGAATACACGAAAAATTAGTTCTATATTGTTATATAGTAAAAAAAAATTTGATATTTCACACTACTGTGAACTTGAATTTGTTCATGAAAAATTCATAAAAATACAAAATTCTGATAGAAAAAAAAGTGTGCGGGCAACTATTTTTTTTTTTTTTTTTGCACGAATACAATGTTTCATTTATGACTAGTGAAAAGCTGCCTTTCCACATATATATCCATTTGAAGATAAATTCACACACAATACATACTGTTCTTTTCAGTGAAATAAAATTTTCATTGTGGCGAAATAATCGAACTACATTTATTTTCCTTTGAAATCAGACAAAATGTTTATTCAATACATATATAAAAAAAAAATTACGAATACTTTTGAAAAGCGTAAATGAGAATGTTAAGAGGTGAATAAGCATTCATTCCACCAAAGTGAATTTCAAAATTTATATATACATTTTATATATAGCCATACAAAACTCTCCGCGTATATTTTATAATATGCGCGCGTTTTGAAACTATTTTTCATTAATTTCTCCGTACAATTGAAATGGTGCACATAGGTATTTTTTTTACGAGTGCACCTTTCAGGTTTAAATCACACAAAAAACGTTATGTTTCTATTTGTTTTAAAACATACATCCACTTATAATCAAATGAAACGATTATTCTTTTTTTTTTTGTAGGAAAAAATTATTCTCCTTTAATTAAAACGAATTTTTGCTTATTAAATGAAGGAATTTCTTTAATTATTATTTTGTTTTATCAATTTTTCAACGTCAAATTTTTTCTCACTTATATTCGATTTGATTTTCCTTTTTAAAAATGCAAAAAAAGGTCAAAATCTAAAAAACTTTATAAACAATAATACAAATACAGCAATTAAAATTTTCATTTGAATAGACAAAAATTGATCGTTTTTTTTCTACTTTTTCCGTTGTAAAAATTGCTTATCAATAAAAATAATTTAGATATTTTCTACAAAAATTGACAAAAGTTTCTTAATGCAAATAATTTTTATTTAAATATAACATTTAATTGCGAAGTTTGTTAAAAATTAGATGCTTTGTCCTTTGACCAAAAAGGTACGAAAAAAATGAAATGAAATTAATTTAAATGAAATAAATGAAACTAAATTAAATTAATTTTACCATTGGGTGATAAATTTAATTAGTACTAAATTAATTTTGATTAAAAAAAGGCAAAAATATAGACTTGGATTTATTTTTTATCTGACACCTCGTCACATATTCTTGCTTAAAAATAATTTTAGTGAAGTTTCACAACGTTTATATTAATTTTTAACGATTCTCAAATCAAAATATAATTTTTACGAGTTTTTCCCAATAAAAAATTAAATTATAATTGATGCCTTAATTAATTTTTAACGATTTTTGCTCAAAACAATTTTTTCTAAACATGAAAATTATTTTTTTCTCCTGAAAATTTATTGATTATTTTATTTGTTTTTTTTATTCTACTATTTTATTCGTTTGTGAAAATAATTATTTTTCGAAGAAGCAACAATTACTTTTAAAGGGGAAATTAGTATATAAAAAAATTTTATTTTTATTTTGAACGTTTTTTGGATAAGAAAATATTTTTCAAAACAAGTGAATAAAATCCTTTTTTTGAAAATAACTATTTTTCCCAAAAATTAATAAACATTGATGACTTTTAAAAGAAAAAATTGATAAAAATAGAAAAAATTTTATTGCTTTCGTCGTGAGAGAAATATGACATTTTTTCAATCGTTCATCGCATGAACATTGTGTGAACTTCACATTCAAAGTAAAAGTATTTATTTGACAATAAGTTTGCAAATTTTTTTTCCAGTCCAATTTTACAATTGTTATTGTTATTATATTATTTTCTTTATTTATTATTTTTCTTAACAATCAGATAATTTTTTTTTTACTAATTGATAAAACAAAAATTTGTATTGAAATTTGACGAAATATTTAGTTATTTCTTTACTAATAATTAGTAAAGAAAAAAATTTTATTGAAAAAAATTTCAATGGATATTTTGGGATATAATTAGTTTCTTTAAAAACTGCTTAAGAAAATTTTAACTAAAACTTTACGAATTATTATTTTTTCTATTTATTATTTTTTTTAATTAGCAGATAATTTTTTCTACTAATTGATGAAGAAAAAAATTGGACTGAAATTTGACGAAATAATTAGTTATTTCTTTACTAATTAGTAAACAAAAATATTTTTTTTTAAATTGATGAAGAAAACTTCAACCTAAATTTTATGAAATCATTTTTTTTTATTCATTATTTTGTTTAGTTAGCAAATTATTTTTTGTACTCATTCATAAAATGAAAAATTGATCCAAAGTTTTACGAAATAATTAGTTTTTTTATTAATTTTTTTTAATTAGCTAAATCTTCAGCCGAAATTTTACGAAATAATTATAGTTAGTTTTTTTTATTAATTTCTAAATAAAAAAATCAAACCGAAATTTTATGAAATAATTTACATTTTATTCAACTACAATTTAAACAGATAGAGTTCGTCTCGAAAAAATAAACAACAAAAATTTTTTGCATTCGTAATAATTCGGAAAATCCGCAAAGGCTATATTTTTATGATCGAGAAAATTAATAGAAAACACAATTCCCTGTGAAAAAATAATAATCAACAGGAGATTAATTTTTCCCATCACAGAATGAATTGAATTTATAGAGAGAATTTATATTTTTCCCTTGATTTTTAATTACTGGAATTTCTTCATTTTTTTTTTGTTTTAAATTCTATTTGTATTATAGGTACAAATTCTTTTTTTTTATTTTGCAGTGAATGTAAATACACATGCAGGTAGAGAGAGAGAGAGAAAGGTATACAGCACACAGGATATTCTGAAGTGTCCGAGCAAACGAAGCTATACATAATAATACCCGCGTACACACATGTCAAACATCAAAAGAAACAAGAGAGCCGGGTCGAGTGAGTGAGAGAGAGATAAAGAGAAAATCAAACCTGTCGGTACATAGATTGGAATGGAGGCGCGGTCATAATTCAATATTTGTTCAAAGTTAGCGGATGGCGCCGGAAAGGCCCTGCGGAATGGTTCGTTTGAACAGCCATTAGTATTAGTTTATCCATGTACCTTACTAATTGCCGTTTTAAGTTCTAGACAATCGCAGCTTGCGCTCTTTTAACAAATTCCTCGACGCTCAACAGTGGAAACTATATAAAGTCTTGAAATTTGTTTTTTTTATTTCAAAGATTCACGTTTCTTCATTCAGCAGCTGAAATTTTCTTTTTTTCTTTTTTTTTGGAGAAAATGTGCAAATTTTATACTTTTTTCTGTTTGATTTAATTTTCCTTATTTCAAAAAGACAAACTTTATTATTAAGGGAAAGGTAAAGAATATTTTTCACTAAATCAAGAAAATAATTTAAATATCCCATAAAATTATTTTTAAGGTTTTTTTTGTGAGTTTCCAAGGTAAAAATCGACTAAAAATGATGTAAATGCAATTTAATTTTAGTAGTAAAACTTTAATCAAATTCAGATAAAAATAGTAAAACATTTTAATACATTAAAAATTTTTAAAGCTTTATTAATAAAATTATATTTAAAAACAATCGTATTTAATTATTTTTATTATCGTATTTATTTATACTAAGTTTAAGTCAGACAAGAAAACAATTAAAGATTTAAAAAATTAAAAATCAATGTAATTTCAGTAGTAAAAGCCTTTTTAAGTCAGACAAAAACAATGAAAGATTTAAAAAATTTAAAATTCATTGTATTTTCAGTAGTAAAATTCTATTTAAGTCAGACAAAAACAATTAAAGATTTAAAACATTAAAAATCAATGTAATTTCAGTAGTAAACGCCTATTTAAGTCAGACAAAAATATTAAAAGTCAAAATTAATTAAAAATTATGACAGTTTCAGTAGTAAAATTTTATTTAAGTCAGACAAAAAAGGTTAAAAATAAGAAAAATTATAAATAATTGTAGTTTCTGTGGTGAAACTTATTTTAAATTAAAAAAGCGATTAAAAAATTTTCTCAATGTTTTGAAAAATAAACAAAAATGATTTGAAAATATTTTAACACAACTATTTCGAAAAGTTTCTAATTCAATAAATTTAATACATTAAAAGTAACTGCAGCTTTAGTAGAAAAATTATATTTAACAACAATCGTAGTTTCAGTAGTAAAACTCTGTTTCAGTCAGACAAAAACAGTTAAAATTTAAACTACACTGAATTTTATTGTAATTTCAGTGATAAAAGTTATTTTCAATTATAGCCAAAAAAAATAGTAGAAAGTACAAATGTAACGAAATAGTTGGAATTTCAGTAGTAAAATTTATTTTAAATCAGACAGCAATTAAAAAATTTTTTATATGAAAATAATCAAAATGGATTTTGAAAGTTCTCTTCACCACTACTTTGAAAAATTTCTAATTTTAAAAATTTAATATATTTAATACATTAAAAATTTTTTGTAGTTTCAGTAACGAAATTATATTTAAAAATAATTGTAGTTTCAGTAGTAAAACTCTATTTAAGTCAGACAAAAACAGTAAATAATAAATAAAATTTTAAATAATTGTAGTTTTAGTAGTAAAAGTATGTCTTAAGTCAGGCAAAAATAGTGAATATTGTCAACTTATTGTCAGTCAGACAAAAGAATTTACAAAATAAGAAAAAATTAAAAATTATATTGTTTCAGTGTCAAAATTTATTTTAAATCAGAAAAAAGGATGAAAAAATTTTCCCAACGTTTAGTAAATTGGTTTTAATTGTAAAATTCGATTCAAGTCAGACAAAAATGCTAAAAATTTAAATAGATTAAAAATAATTGTGATTTCAATAGTGAAACTCTGTATTTAAATCGGAAAAATTTAAATTTAAAAAATAGTTAAACATCGAAGTAAATTAAAAATTTTGTAGTTTCAGTAATAAAACTATATTTAAATGAGGCAAAAATAGTTAAAATTCAAACTACATTAAAGTTTATTGCAAGTTCAATGATAAAATTTATTTTTAATTAGCCAAAAACAGTAAAAAAAAGTCTAAATATAACGAAATAATGGTAATTTCAGTAGTAAAATTTAATTTAAATCAGACACAATTTAAAAAAATTTTTATATGAAAATAATCAAAATGGATTTTGAAAGTTTTCTTCATCACTACTTGGAAAAATTTCTAATTTAAAAACTTAAATACATTTCAAACCTTATAAATATTTGCAGTTTCAGTAATAAAATTATATTTAAAAACAATCGTAATTTCAGTAGTAAAACTTTATTTAAGTCAGACAAAGACAGTTATAAATAAAAAAAAAATTTTAATAATTTTAGCTTCAGTAGTAAAATTTATTTTAAATCAGACAGCAATTAAAAAATTTTTTATATGAAAATAATCAAAATGGATTTTGAAAGTTTTCTTCATCACTACTTGGAAAAATTTCTAATTTAAAAAAATTTAATACATTTCATACCTTAAAAATATTTGCAGTTTCAGTAATAAAATTATATTTAAAAACAATCGTAGTTTCAGTAGTAAAACTCTATTTAAGTCAGACAAAAACAGTTAGAAAGAAATAAAAATTTTAATTATTTTAGTTTCAGTAGTAAAAGTCTATCTTAAGTCAGGCACATATAGTAAAAAATTAAAAATAATTGTAATTTTAATAGTGAAACTCTGTATTTGAATCGGACAAAAGAAGTTGAAAAATCGAAGTAAATTGAAAATTTTTTTAGTTTCAGTAATAAAACTATATTTATGTCAGACTTTAGTTAAAATTCAAAATAAATTAAAGTTTATTGTAATTTCAGTGATAAAAGTAATTTTCAATAACGTTGAACGTTGAATTTTCAACGTTGAACAAAAATCGTTAAAAGTTAACGTAAATTACAATTTATTCTATAGTTTCAGTAGTAACATTTTATTTAAGTCAGACAAAAACAGTTAAAAATCAATTTAAAAGAATAAATAAAGAATGTGTAGTTTCAGTAGTTAAACTTTAATTTAAATCGGACAAAAAAATAAAAAAAAAACTTTAAAAATAATTGAAGATTTAATGACAAAACTCCATTTAAGTCTGTCAAAAACCATCATGAATTAAAGTTGAAGAAAAGTATGTGTAGTTTCAGTAGTAAATAGTACTAGTAGTAAAACTCTATATTTAAGTGAGAAAAAAATATTTAAAAGTAAAAAAAAAACTAAAAATTGTTTATTTATAAAAAAATGAAAAATTACACTGGATGTAAAAGAAAATAGTTATCAACTTTTGGGGAAGAAAATTTTAGCGAAGCTAAATGGTGATGAATTTGGGAAAACATTGAGCGAGCACAATGCCATTTTCGAAAATGAGCTGCAACCCTCATAAGTATTTTAAGTTTAGCGAGAGGGAAAAGAGAATACACTTTTCTCTTGTGTGAAGTTTGTAAGTTTGAATGCCTTCCAAGTGAGTGGGTTAGAACACTTAAGAAAACGTTGCAGGATCTACGGACAAAGTAGTTGGGAAAAACTTTCTAATTTTCATTATAGCGCATTATTTAACGATTTTTCTTTTTTCTCCTCCTCTTTTCCTTATTAATATTATGCTAAAGACCATAATCTAATTTCGAATTAGTAAAAATTTTTATTATCTTACTAGTCAGAAGGCAATAAAGAAAATTTTGCTTTCAGTAGTAAAAGTCTATTTAAGAAAGAAAAAAAATTTTAATTTAGAAAAATTTAAAATAATTATAGTTATAGTATAGCAAAATTAAAAAGGCAGACTATGAAAGCTAAAATTTAAAATAGATTAAAAATTATTGTAGTTTCAGTAGTGAAAGTCCAGTTTAAGTCAGACAAAAGGGGAAAAATGGAAATAATTTTTTTTTTAAATTTTAGTTTCAGTGATAAAAGTTATTTTTAGTCAGACAAAAGCAGTAAAAATTACATAAAATAGAAATTATGTAGTTTTAGTGATTGAATTTTAGTTTCAACTTCAATTTTAAAATTAAATTTCCAAAATAACAATCGACGAAAAATTGTGTAAATGCAATTTTAGTAGTAAAACTTTAATCAAGTTAGATAAAAATAGTAAAACAAAAATATGTTAATAATAATTGGTCTTTCAGTAGTAAAACTGAAATTAAGTCAGACATAAACAGTTAAAGATTTAAAAAATTAAAAATCACTGGAATTTCAGTAGTAAAGATCTATGTGAGTCAAACCAAAATGTTAAAAATCAAAATTAATTAAAAATGATTATAGTTTCAGTAGTAAAATTTTATTCAAGTCAGACAAAAACAGTTAAAAATAAGAAATATCATAAGTAGCTTCTGTGGTAAAACTTATTTTAACTAAAACAAAGCGATTAAAAATTTTTCTCAGCGTTTAGAAAAATAAACAAAATCGATTTTAAAATTTTTTTATCACAACTATACTTCGAAAAGTTTCTAATTTTAAAAATTGAATACATTTAATAAGTGCATTAAAAATATTTGCAGTTTTAGTAATAAAATTATATTTAAAAACAATCGCAGTTTCAGTAGTAAAGCTTTATTTAAGTCAGACAATAACATTTAGAAGTAAAAATTAAAAATAATTTCAGCCTCTATGGCAAAATTAATGTTAAATCAGACAAAGCGATTAAAAAATTTTCTTAAAGTTTAGGACAAAAAGTTTCTTTGCAATATAATTCAATTATTTTTCTAAATATAATAAAATTCTTTTTAGGAATTTAATTATTTTCATAAATAGTAAAATTCATCGCAGAATTTCAATTATTTTTATTAAAATTTTAATGGAATTCCTCGATAAATGTAATTATTATTAAAAATTTTATTAAAATTTGTCAAACGAATTCAATTATTTAAAAATTTGTTGATAAAATTCTTTATGAGAATTCAATTTTAAGAAACATTGAAATATACAATAAATTATTTTTTGTATTTAAATAATTGAATTCAAGTAGAATTTTATAATAAAAATTGATTTAAAAATAAATGTCAGTTAAAAACAAATGAATTTAAAAATTCTATTGTTTTCAAGAGTAATAAAATCCTTCGCAGAAATTTATTTATATGTAAAAAATAGTAACATTTTTTTTATGAATTCAATTATTTTCATAAATAATAAAACTCAATACAGAATTTCAATTATTTTTAATACAATTTTAATCGAATTTCTCGATAAATGTAATTATTCTTAAAAATTTTATTAAAAATCGTCGAAAGAATTTAATTATATAAAAATATCTTGGTACAATTCTTTATGAGAATTTTGAATTTTAAGAAATATTCAATTATTATTCAATAAATTATTCATTTTTGTATTTAAATAATTGAATTCTAGTAGAATTTTCTAATAAAAATTGATTTGCATTTGATAAAAATGAATTTCAGTTAAAATCTTAGATAATAATTGAATATTAAAAGCAATATATCGTGACTTTTTAGAAATAATTGAATTTTAAAATTAATTTTTTTGAAAAAGTGTAATTGAATTTTTTTTTATATTAT